GCATGCACAGGAGCAATTTTGCAATATTATTATGATGCGCAATTCGACACGATCTGCGATGCTGCGTGCGATGTGCCCTGCTGTCATGATGGTGACAGTCACCGCGGTATGTTTTTGTCAACGTCGCCCATGCACTCTTCTGTCAAGTCCAAAGTGCTCACATACTTGGCAACGTCTTTGCAGTGATGAACTTTTATCCTAGTTATGTCACGGGTAACTTTAACGAAGTACCCACAGGCCGTGTCGATCCGCACATCGTCCACTCTCTCATATACTTGGCCTGCTTTGTCTGTGTATCCATTTCATGTGCGATCCACAAAATCGACTAGACAGTGGATGCAATACGCTCTCTATCTGAAGACGTTCTTCTGGCGACATCTCGCCATGTACTTGGCCTGCTTTGTCTGTGTATCCATTTTCATGTGCGATCAACAAAATCTCAATGCACTACAGACTAGACAGTGGGTGCAATACGCTCTCTATCTGAAGACGTGAACCATTAATTTTTTTGGAAAAGTTATACGTACACCTGAAACGTAATGAAGTACAGGAATAGAGAGAGTGACTACAATACGCTCTCGACCTGATAATTATAGTGATAACGTGTTAGAAGGTAACAGGTCTACAGTCCCACCGTACCCTTCCGACACGACTGTAGACCATTACATTTTTTGGACCTGATAACGTGAGTACAAGACACTCTCCACCTGATAACGTGTTAGTAGAAGGTAACTGGCAACATATCAATGGGTTGCCTTACCGTGGTCTAGAGGAGACGTCTTCGCAGCAATATTTTCCCTCCTGCGCATTCAGTCGCCGACGCGACAGCGTTTACTGGGCCGTTCCAGTTGAGGAAGACATTCGATTCATCGGGCCAATTCAGCAACAGGGCTGTGGACACACAGGGGGCAGAGGAGAGACATTGTTAGTGGACAAGAAATATGCAGTGGCAAGTGGCGAGTTCCCCATGGATGTCAAGTTGTCATGCACAATTCAGCTATTACTTACGGTTCAGCTAGTCCTGCCATTGCTCGCTCGTCCTGGTTCCTCCTCGTTCGTCTTCCTGCACGTCTGCACTTCTCCTTCCCCACCGTTGGCTTTGCGGTACGGGGGTGCCGGAACGAATTCCCACCATGTATCCATGTACATGAAGTCCCACCATGTCTCCATGTACATGTCCACGGCCACGTCAGCAGTTTGTATAGTACCGGAAGGAGTTCCCACGATGTCTCCAAAGGCCTAGAGCGGACGTCTTTGCAGCAATTCTTTTCGCCCTACGCATTCAGTCCGCCGACGATGTCTCCAAAGGCCTAGAGGGGTCTTTGCAGCAATTCTTTTCACCCTGCACATTCACTCCGCCGACACGACAGCGTTTACGGGGCCGTTCCAGGTGCAAAAGGTCCACGTCAGCAGTTCTCAACTATTTCGCGTACGGGATAGTCGCCGCGACAGCGTTTAAGGGGTCGTTCCAGGTGCAAAAGGCATCCATCAATGGCACTTTGCAGTACGGGGTACGGAAAGGGGCCTCCTCGTTCGACTTCGTCAACTTCTGCAGTTCTCCTTCCCGTCAGGGGTACCGAAAGGGGCCTCCTCGCAGTTGTCCTTGCCGTCAGGTCCACGTCATGCAGTTCTCAACTATTTCACGTACGGGATAGTCGTCTTTGTCGTACGCGACATCGGCGTTTACCGAGTGTCATTGGCACAAAGCAGACCGTTGACGGGGTCACGTGTCAAAAAAGTATCAACAACGTGTCGACTACGTGTCGACCACGTGTATAGCGGTACACTCAGCGGTTCACTAATTCTCGTGCCATTCTCGTGTCACAAAACTGGAACATCGAGTACCAGTATGGAAAGGCTTCAGACAGGAAGCCTTTCCAATAATTATGTACTAGCATGCAGCACTGCTGGCTGTGCTGCTACGGTACAAATAACTTTGCTACAAGAACTGTTTTTAGATTGACAGCATGAAACAAGGTGGAGGACACTGTGTTCAGCTGACGTGCTGAGAGAGGGACGCCATGGGCAGAAGTTGGAGGAAAAGAAGATTTAAGAAAAGCAATTCAGAAGTAGCCACATGACTTTCAGGACGACATCCAGGAGCGATCAAAGAATACACGACTGACGTAAGGAGAAGTCTTAAACTCCCCTAGCATAATGAGGGTCAGAACCGGGTTCAATACCCATAAATAATTATGGTTCAAATGGTCCTAATGGACCGGGGCTCTGCCAACCGTGGATGTTGTTGTTGATTATTTTATATTATTTTTACTTTGCAAGGCCAAACGGGCAATGGTGCCCAATTCTATAGAAGCAAATTTCAAAGGGGAGAGAGCTACGGGGGGGGGGGGGGGGAGAGAGAGAGAGAGAGAGAGAGAGAGAGAGAGAGAGAGAGAGAGAGAGAGAGAGAGAGAGAGAGAGAGAGCAGTGAGGTTAGGGGCTTCGGAGGGCGGTGAGCGCATCAACGTGTGGTTGGGGGTAGCAGCGAAGAACAAATTGCTATGTAATTTAGTCTGATAAGCGATTTTGCAGCGTCAACAGAGCAATTTTGCAGTGTCAACAGAGCGATTTTGAAGCGTCAACAGAGGGAATACAAAGAGTTCATAGGTGCACAAGCACGCAGAGAAGAGTAAACGACGTGGTGTGTGGACGGGAAAAGTCAGACAGAGCATTCATTGCAAGGTGTAGGGGATGGAGGCAAGCTTAATTGCTGGGCAGCCTTGATCTCCCTTACACTCCTTGGGAGAGCGTTCCAGGCCAAGGCTGCCTGAAAGGCCAGGCGAGATCTGCCGGCTTCTGACTGTGCCGAGGGGATAGTGAGGCCCCTGGAAACCTGGTGCCGGGTGGTGCTACCAGCTGATGGTGAAAATAGGTCCTGGAGGATACTGCTGGCTTTCCCATTGACACAGCGCCACACCAGGAAGAGCCGCTTCTGGGCGTAGCACTCGCGAACTCTGTATAGGGGCATCCGTTCGAGCAGAGGCTGGGCAGAGGTGTGAGGCGGCAAACCGTATACCGCTCTCGCCGCTCGGTTCTGCAGGACCTGAAGGCGATCAAGCTGCGAAACCTTGAGGGAGGAAGAGAAGGCGTTGGACCCGTATAGAAGGACAGGCATGATGACTGACCTCACATACTGGATGCGACTACTGAGGCTCAGACATCTGCGGGACCGCCACAGTGCTCCAATCTTCTGCACAACTTTCTTCGCCATCGCGTCAACATGGGGGTCCCACTTCACAGCGGCATCAAGGGTCACGCCGAGGTACCTTGCTGTTGGGCTCAGGGGAAGCTCTGTCTGGTTGCAGCGGACAGCGACATGCTGACCCGCATTGCGTTGTGGTACAATTGACAGGACCTGGCTCTTCTTGTCATTTGGAAGCAAATGTCGATGCTTGAGCCAGTCAGCGAAGTTGGTGACGGCCCCTGATAGGCAGGCTGATGTGGCTAGCACTGATTTCCTGTGGCAGTGCACGGCAATGTCATCGGCAAATTGCAGAGATGGAGCAGGATGGGCTATGGCAGGGACATCACGGGTGTACATGCTAAACAGGATCGGTCCTAGGACCGAGCCCTGAGGTACACCAGATGAGCACTTAGCAGCAACACTGTAGGTGTGGCCAATGCGCACTTGCTGGGTTCGATCGCTTAAGTTAAAGTAGCTGCAGAACAAACCTCCCCACCACACCTGCAACAACCACATCTTGCACCACAACGTCAACACCAACCATACACCCTTCGACAGACAAGGACCTACTCCATCGGACACGCACACACAAACAGGCACCAAGATTCCCCCATCAACAGTGCCCTCACCCTCTACAACTCACTCCCTATTGACATCACAACCCAACCTCGTAGAAATTCTTTCCGAAACAATGCGTCCAGTCTTCTTTTGAGCAGTACCTGTTCCTGCTCCGCACATCCCCCTGGTTTCTGATATCTCGAACGTGTACTTAACTATCTCGATCACCCCTGCTAACGTTATTGCCCCCGCTTGTTTTTCATGATCCATTGCTTCTTGCCTCCCCGGTTAATTTCCATCTAGCTGTTTCTGGCTAGTACCAGTTCTATCGCACTTATCAATCATCCTCGTCACGCCATCGTGGAATAAAAGAATAAGAAGAAGAAGAGGAACCAGCGAAGCTAGCGAAGGGAGGCATTGTCCAGACCGAGATCGAATAGGTCCCGGACCAGTTGGCTGTGACTGACCTTGTCCGTGAAAGGCTTTTGACATGTCGATTAGGCAGACGCCTGTGGTCAACTTGTCGTCCCGGGCAAGATGGCATCTGTTGCTTGTAGTAAGGTCACTGTTTCCGAACACAGTGTCCTCCACCTTGTTTCATGCCGTCAATCTACAAGTAACAATATGTGTGAACTATAACAAGGTTTATCTAATACTAGTTTTGAACTAGTTTTGGGTTATAATTATAATACTAACTGTTTATACATGAATTACGTGTGTAAGGTGTAGTCTGAGTTTGAGTTGGTTGTCTCATGTCTGCTAGCAGGGAGTCGTAAAATATTAACGACTCCCTGTCTCCTAGTCTGTCCTGACAGGTACATTCTTATAATCTGCTGGTCTGTCTTGACAGGTTCATTCTGACAATGACAAGAGAGATGCCCTGGATGATTGTGACGCCAGAGGGTGTCGGAGGCATCAGTTCAAAACACGAAATGCCGTGACTACAGTACACAGTGCTGTAGAGTGCTGTAGTATAGAACAGCACAGTTACAGTAGCAAGGGAAAAAGAAACTGCTCTCACACACTCATACAGTAGACGCTATAGTAGTACAGTAGTAACTGCTTCTGTCACCAGTGTCTGTACAGTGAAGTGTATGTATGAATGACTCGTGCAGCTACATGCACAGCCTCAGCCACAGGTACAAGAGAAAATCTCTACAAACTAACTAATCACACAGTGTGGCTACAGCTACCTGTAGCTGATCTCTCTAATTTTCTCTACTGGTAACTGTTGCCTGTTCTAGTGTAGCTAGGCTACTGCTTTTCCTACTGCGGATCTGCAGCATGCCATGGGGGCCCTAACAAGCTCACTTCCTGCTGTAGTGAAGAAATACCGTGACCGTCTGTGTGCTGCTTACAGCAATGTGCAGTTCTGCATTGAGGAAACCGATGAAGAGAAGGAACGAATCTTGCAAATGGACGAGCTTTATGCTGACCTCCATGTGGTGTCCAAGCAGAAGTTAAATACCAGGATGCGTGAAGCAGAAAAACTGGGCACAACTGCGGGCAATGAGCAACTGGCTCATTCATTTGCGTCTGAAGCTAGAAAGCTGCGCAAGATGAAACTTGCTGAAATCCTCACTGTCAAGAAAGCCATGCGACAACGCATGAGTGGAAAGACCTTCCGTGCCATTGCCCTCTCATCGGCTGGAGCAGGCAAAACCATGCTCTTCACCAAGAAGGGTCCGTATGAATGGGCAAGAGGGCAGATTTGGCCAAACATTGCTGTCCTGCGTGCACTGGAGCTGCGCTTGGCAGAAGTGCGCAATATCACAAGCATCGCTGAGCTGCTGGATTTGCAGAATTACGGCATCACACTACCAGGTGAGCAGGCCGAAGTCATTGATTTTGTTTGCAATCATCCCGAATCTGTCTGTATTATTCTCGACGGATTGGATGAGATCAAGCTCGCCGACTGCAGCAAGTTCATGAACGACGTCATCTGTGGCAAGGAATTGCCAGGAATCAACCTGATCATCACGTCACGCCATTCAGCAGAAGCAATGAAGCTGACACAAAGCCGCGAGATAGTCTTCCATCGTCGTCTGGAACTGCTGGGTTTTGAGAAGCAGGGTTTGGAGCACTACATTCGCAATATCCTGTCTCCAGACGATGCAGCTAAGTTGCTAGCAGAGCTTCGCAGCAACCCACAGCTAGCCACAATGATGCGCACACCGTTTTTCGCCCAAGCAACCTGCAGCCTCTACCGGCACAACCATCGCCTGCCAAACACACCGTCGGCAATCTTCAACTCGCTGATCCTTCATATTCTGGGCCAGCAGAAATCAAAGCCAGGGCATGATGGTGAGCACTACACCGATTGGGATGATGTTCCCGACGACGTCCAGGAAAATCTACACGATCTCTCCCGGTTCACTTTCAACATGCTCATCCGACGGAAAGTCGTCTTCACCGATGCCGACTTCAAAATGTTTTCACTGTCATCGGCAGCTCGCACACTCGGCATGCTCATCGCCTGCGACACGGCATCACCACAGTCCAGGGCTCAGTGGCGTTTCAGCCACCTGGCACTTCAGGAAGCTCTAGCAGCTCGCTACATCGCTAGCCGCTCTCCCAGTGCAGCTGACGTCACCTGGCTTGTGCAGCGACTTGGAGCATTCACAGGCAGCCTCAATATGTTTTGGCGCTTACTGGCCACTGAGCTGGATAGTGACTCGGTCAATGTGTTGATCGAAGCCATTCTCAATGCGCAGTCCACATCGTCTACTCAGCCAAAGGATACCGACCAGCATTCCACAGGAGCAGAGGGGCACAGCATCACGTGTTTTCTCTTCACAACACACGACCACGTCATGAAATGGGCAGACCACGTGTCCTCCTTTATCTCGCTGGACGAAGCAGAGCACCTTGCAGAAGAATTGCTGGGTGACAGGATCGACCTGGCAATGTCTGCTCCTGAAGTGGTCCGCCTCGAAATTGACCCAGCCATCACCAAAATCACCTGCAAGGATTTCGTTCGTTCATTGCTACCCATATGGACGGATCGCGTCCCCAGTGCCAGTACACAGAAGCTGCACGATTGCATGGCCCACCAGGCGCAAGGATCGACCATTCGATGTTTCACCGCCACTCCCACGTCTAGGCTACCTCCAGTTCCTCCATCCGACGAACCAGCCCAGCCATCCGCGACTCTGGAGAACGTCAGCACCGCCGTAGAACGAAGGCAACGAGTTCTCTACGCCTGTCGGGTCTTTGCGGAGCACGCCAACGCCAAGCAAAGCAGCATTGAATACATCGACAGCATGCAGGCTATCTTCACGGAGTACGGAGCAGATTTCGACGGCGTTCCTCTCACACCGTCGGATTGTCAGGCCATCAACACCGTCATCCGTCACCACCACCAGTTCATCACCGGCATCAGCCTGCAGAACTGTGGTATAGGTGATACTGGTTATGCATGCATGGCTGATGGCATGGCTCTACTACGCAATCTTACGTTCATCAACCTGCGACTGAACAACCTCACAGATCGTCACACAGCCCATATCGCAGCATGTCTCGAATCCAACACGTCAACCCTGGAGGACATCTACACAACCGAGAATCTCTTCAGCAGCAATGCTATGGCCACCATCCACAGCAATACACACCGCTGTACGCGACTGCTGGGAGTGGAATTTGGAGGTCGAGAGTGCGCCAATCCAGCAGCCAACCTTGACGTCATCACTAGAATCTGCAGCAGCTGCCCAGATCTCAAGTCCGTCGGTCTCAGTGACTACGTACTGGATATGGAAGGTCTAACACAGCTAGCACCATTGTTAGGAGCACTGAGGCTGAGAGAGCTGTGGCTGGTTAAGGTTGGGATGAAGCAGAACTACGCACTGATCGTCCGTCGAATCATTCAACAGCAGCACGAGAGTTTGGAGTGGTTCTCACTCAGTTGCAATGAGCTAACGGGAGATTTCCTGGAAACCGTTCGTGGTGAGATTAGTCAGTGCCAACAACTGAAGGGCCTGTACCTGGACGACGACTGCCTCTCGTCAGGAGCTCTGCCAGTGGTTGCGTCCCTGCTGCCAAGTCTGCCCAAGCTCTCCTTGCTCCGAATGGCGAGGAATGATTTCCGAGACGCTGACGACGAAGTAAAGCTGTTTGCCGCCGCTGCTGAGAGCTGCTCGTCTCTGAAGGAGCTGAGGATGCCTGAACCAGCTCTAGTGTCTCCACGGCTGCGTGAGGCTTTAAGTGCCATGGCCGGAGATGATCTGAATGTTCAGTATTCGGGGGGTCGCTGGTACGACGAAGTGGAAAATGATGAAGAAGAAGACGGGTAGGATACAAAGGAGATAGTGAGGGTGAGGAATGAGGAGGTGAGGGAATTAACACAGACGGATTTGTGTCCTGTTGAAGAAAGCTCCGTGTTGGTCTATCGTTTCCTCCTGGCATACAGTCCGTCTGTGTATGCTCTTAAGGTGTGTGTGCATGCACCGTAGAGCTTCTACGTGTACATGCGTGTCTGAGTATACACTTAAGCGTGTATTTGTGTGTGTGTGTGTGTGTGTGTGTGTGTGTGTGTGTGTGTGTGTGTGTGCATGTGTGTGTGTGCATGTGTGTGTGTGTGTGTGGACGTTTGTGTTTCTGCTGGACATTCCTTCTTTCTTGTTCAGTCAGTTCGAGTACTCACTGTGTTGACCTTTGACCTATAGGCTTTGGACCCTGCAATTGGATATTTTCGTTTCGTAAATTTTCGATCATTGTGGCCTGTTCCTGAGAGATTTGATAATCTTATGAACTTTAGTGTCCCACATCATTGTCCCACTGGCGGTCTGTGAAAGGCATATCTTATGTGAGGCATACCGCACTCTGTAGTGCTGTACCCATTTGAATCTGTCATACTTCTGCAACACCACACGATTTGCCATCTCATTGTGCTTCCTCTGTATCACACCTGCTTGTTTTCTATTTTCAATTCTATGCTGTCCCTCCAGGAAATCGCGATTCCACGGATGCAACAAAATCCGCGATTTCCCGCGTTTCTTGTGGTTTTCTGCACTATATCTCACTTTTTATGCACTTTTCACGCAGTGCTTTCCATGATCCTGTAGGTTATTTGTATAGTACGACTCGGACTACTCCCGAGTAGATATACGATGCAACAAATTTCGTGATTTGGCCCAAATCCGCAATTTTCTGTAAATAATTCCGCGAATTCCTGGCAAGTTCTGCATCATTCCGCACTTTTCGTCCCATTTTTTGTTGTTTTCTCCCGCAATTTCTTGCGCAAGTTTTCGAGAGTTTTTTCCGCACATTCCCGCGGGGACAGTCTATGTAATTTGTTGCATTTGAATAATCCGGGGGCCTACATTTGATGCTTGTTCCTGCCGCTGAACCCGAGAAATGCCAGCGCAGGTATAACATTCTTGGAACTTCCTTTGAGTTTAGGTCGGTCTGGCGGAAGTCATGTTCGGCAGGCGTAGTGTCGCCGCCGAAAGCATTTCTTTTGGTTTTGAAGAAAATTCTGGGCAGCAGTTTGGGGATGAATGCGAGGAGAGTGACTGGATCATTGTGGGCGAGGAATTAGAAGTGACCGACCACAGAGACACATATTTATATGCTCCAGATGAAGATGAGTGAATACTAATTGCCCCGACTTTTTCAATGAGTCTGGTACAAGATCCGACTCGAGGGAGCAAGCGGATAACGGTGTTGATAAAGCTATGGAGCCATTCCCAAAAAGAACATCAACCTCCAAAACTCGGGCAGGACTTCCTTCATGAAACTGTGTTCTCTGGCAAAGTTGGTAAACAGTGGAAAATGTGTTGCACCAAGCAAGCCCGGACAAACGTACCCGTGCTACCCGCGAGGACCTTGGGTAGTCGGGTACAGAATAGTAGCCGAAAACCCGAAGTCGCAGATGACATCATGCACAGTGCACGTGTGCAAATTCATGTAATACTCCGCATGTCTACGCAGTGTGTAAGGGAAGGGGTGCATTGTGGTTTTGCCATGGAAACATTACCCGCGATCGGGTACCCGTGCTACCCGTGGAAAACTACCCGAACCCGATACCCGAAGAAAATGCTACCCGACTCAGCACTACTTCTTACGGCACTGCAGTACTTTTTCCAGATACAAGACTACATCGGAAAACACACGAATGTTGTACCATGCATGTTGAAGGCTCAGTTCCCAGCCCGCTTTCCCCTTAGACCCAGTATTCGGATTCAAATTGCTAGCATCGGTCACGTGGCATAGCGCATCACAAGGGAAGTTGTCGGCTGAGAAAATAAATTAATCATTACGAGTAGCGTTACTGATGAAAAGCAGTCATATTCTCGGCTGGGAAATCAGGGCAGCAGGGAGGGGATATCATGTGGTTATTGGTAGATGAGAAATCTTCAATACATCTCGGAAGCACGGGCGCCATTGCTCGCTAGGTTCAAAAATCCAAAATCTCTCGTCAACAAAATAATAGTTATAACTCAACAATGGTCAAATGGCTGCAACAATGAAGTTGTTCAGGTAATTGCGGTTGGGAATATTGATAATTATGCCTGCACGCATGCTTATCCACATTATCTTCATCAATAGTTCCTCAAGAAGACTAGCCACCGAAGGATACGGTTTTTACGAATCGCTTCAACATCGCTCTAAGATAGAAAAAAAGTTAAATCTTCCATAATCACACAGCATGCTTTATGTTAGCAGGTAAATGGTGGGAACAAGGAGAGGGGGGGGGGGGGGGGCAGACCAGGCAGGGGAAGCAGTAAGCTGTGACTTGTCGTTGGCTGAGGATATAACACACCTTGCTCTGCTTATAATACTTATAATTATTGTTGTTCCTGCACTATGAGACGTGGTATTGCTTGCAAGATGCACTGCATCACTGGCCAATCGTGCATCATCTCTCCGACATCGTGACAGCTTTCAAGTTGCATTACATCACAAGTCAGGTGTATGATGTCACTGGCTGCAACCATGACATCATAGCCACGATATCATACTTTGCTGGTCTAGTTGCATTGTAGTTGCAGTGCAGTGTATCCGGCCTTCAGGCAGGATTCCTTGGCCAGGAGCTGATTCCGGTTACGGAACACGCCATACTCTGGCCGATTGGTAGCGTGTCCCTCGACGCGCAGCACCACGCCCTTGCCATACTGAGGCTGCCGCTGCTGCTGCTGCTGATCGTCCTGGCGACCGCCGTCGTCACGGTAGTGGAACTCATCGTCGCGGAGAGTCGGCTGTATACCGGGCCCGTCCAGCTGGCAGGACACGTCGCGACCGCTCTGCACCGTCGGCGGCCGTTCCACCTGCATGAGCACGCGCACCTCGCGCAGCGGCTGGTTCCACGTGGGGCACGCCACCTCGATGCAGGAGCGGCCGAGCTGGCGCAGCTCCGAACTGGCCTCCACCGTCTTCTCGCGCCACCCGTACAAACTGTATTCGGGAATGCTGGGACGGGCGTCTTGCTGCTGGCGTCGTCTGCTGCTGCTTGACTTGGATAACACCTTGCCCAGGCTGACAGCGCGCAGGAGATACGAGGTGAGCACGGACTGGGACGTGGACAGCTTGACGGCCATGAAGCAGTGGTCTGACGAGTGACGGTAGTGGAAGGAGTTGTTGTGCGCGATGCCCTCCCAGGCGTCAAACTGATCGAGCGTCGGCGACAGAGTTCGCGCTCCCTGGTCCATCACAAAGCTGACCTGGGGAGCTCGGCCGTCGCACATTTCCGACATGTGCTGGTAGCGCGAGGCGCTGGCGAGGAACTCCAGTTGTTCGGCGTGTAGGCATGCCGAGGAGGCACCCAGTGATGATGACTCGGCAGGGGACGTCGATGATGCATTGCCGGCGGTGTCGCAGGCGTACGCACGCTGTTGCTGTACGTTACCGTCGACGTCGCTTACATGGTGAACGCTCAGCGTGGCGTCGGCATGGCACTGCACGGGAACGCACGCGATGCCCCACGCGTCCGTCACGGCCTGCGTGCGCGACTTCCAGAGTCCGGCCGACGAAGCGGTAACAGTGGCGCCCGGAAGCGGCACTGGAGTCCCGCTCGCCGACTGTCGAACGTGAACCTTGAGAAAGCATCGCTCGGCCGAGTAACCGATGGCGTAGATCCCGTCCTCCACCGGCACACTGGCCGTTGCTATGACAGCGCCGGAGCCCGAGTCAGACTTTGAAAGCGTTGCCAGGCGACCGGGCCTGGTCCACTGTCCCGTCTGCCCAACTGACCACAGCTGGACATCACCGGCAGTGAGATCATGTGACGCCAATGTGGTGATATTGCTGGTCCATCTCAGATAGCGCACATCAAGTCCGGAGTACTGAGAGAGGTTGCCCACCCGGATCGCAAGGCTGACGAAGGGCTGTGCAAACGTTAGAGTTCCGTCGTCGGCCAGAAACGTGAAGGAGCCGGATGCTTGCTCGGGATCTTGGTCGGAAAAGTCCGTTACAGAGTAGGTGATATTTGCTTTCGGTCCGCTTGGTGCCAGGACTATGGTTGAGATGGCTGTAAGGCGGTCAGACTGGGTGCCGGAGGACGAAGATGATGACGATGGCGACACACTAACATCCACACCGTTGGTATCGTTAAGCCGCACGAACGTGGGCAGGTCGAGCTGATGAAAGACGGCCTTGCCAGCGTGGACAGGCAAGGCAATGGAGTAAGGCGGACGCGTGGCCGTGTCCAGGTGGAAGGCTACAGTGTCAGAATCCTCCTCGCTCAGGTCGATGCGGAACTGGGAGTGATGGACGGACATGCGTCGCTTCTTGACGCCGACGGTGAAGCGAAGTCCCGCCTGACGACCGCTGCCGATGACGCCGTTTACGAAGGTCTTGTGACGATAGCAGGTGGCGCAGCGGCATGCGTCTACCACGGGGATGCGCATCTGCATTGGCTGTCGTGCTGCCCCTGTCATGCAGATCAGTGTACGGTAGCTGACCAGAGACGGCGTACAGCAGCCACCGCCCGAGTACGCACAGTGATCCGGTGTCGTGCTGGCCCCGTCGCGCTCATACCGATAGTCCGACGCGCAGCGCTTCAACGAGCACTGTCCCACGTTGATGGTCACCTGACGATTGCTGGCGGACGTCAGCAGGTCCAACTGCTGGTCGCCAAACTGAAAGGCGGCGTCGTCGCTGCCCTCTTCGCCGTCCTCCGACAGGAGTCGGCAGCCCGTCGGCAAGGCGATCTTGCGGTCCAATGGCCAGCCGCCGCATCGGTCCGGCGTCGTGCGATTGGATCGCGCATGTGAGCGCCAGTAGTCGAACTCCTCTCGCGTGCCGTGAACTGAAACAAGCGAAACACAGACAAAATAAAGCAAGGAGCAAGAGCACATGGCCACTCAAATCCTCTGTCAAATTCTATCTACTGCACGCGTGTATGCACAGGTCCGGTGGAACCCGCCTGATTGATCTGGCCATGGCCAGGGGCGTCAGAACCGGTGGCAGGTCCGGCCAAAGCCGCACCAAAAAAAATAGCTACTTCTACCACTATTACTACCCATAATTTCATCTTGTGACTTTTGAAGCAATGAAATATGGGCTTTTTGGGCCTAATTGGCAATTTCCCTAATTTTTTCTCTAGGGAGGACCCCACACCCCACCCACTCCCGCGGCCGCACCGATGAGGAATGCCTTCCGATGCCCCTGATGGCCGGACCAACATGTGTTTACTGCTGAGGGGGTCATGTCTACTAGTATATACCCTCCATATCATACACAAACTGTATGACAGGCTAGGGTATGGCGGGACCAATCAAACCCTGCTCTCTGCCCATCCTGCTGCAAGCTGTCTTAGGCACTTCGTGGGGAAATAGTGAGGTCACACGACTGATCTCTGGCCTTTCTCCACAAGCCCATTGTGCAATGACGTAATTATTTGTACCATGAATACCTCACACAGCCACCTGGGCATGGCCGTCTGGGGTGTTGAACAGTGCATTGCTGGTCCCAGTGTACTCACATGCATTACTCATACCTTCCATATCTGGCAATGCACAAAGGGCTTATTGAAGGGTACATGATTCTGACTCGTGAACATTTCAAAGTTACAGGCAGTGCCAAATCCCGGACTACCGGATAAGGGAGATATGAGTGCAGAACCATGATGGGGTATAGTTCTGTTGGGCGGCGGAGAACAGACAGGCTAGGATTTCACCAAGCATCGCATAGCGATGTATACAAGGTGACTCCACTGTGCCGCAGAGACTGCTGTTCATGAAGATAAGAATGGTCCAGGCTACAAGACCCCCAGTCCTGCAGCACTCTGCAGGACTGTAGTTGGAGAAGATAGTTGCTCTCTGATCACGTGTGACGTCATCACCATCATGTGATTCGTCTTTCAATCCTCCGCCATGTCCTATGGCAAATGTTTTGTTCGCCCGTCAAAGAGGCTTTTCTGTACACAGCTAAAAAAAGTAGGAGGAGATAGCGAGTAATGGGTATATCTGCTTACCGTTCTGTACTCGAGACACTGCCTTGCTTTCAACAGTCTTGTCGTCGGACAGCTTAGCCAAACAGTAGTAGTAAGTGACTTGGAACGGTATAATCTGGTGAGGGAACGAGAGTGGAACATACAACGAGCGTGATGTCTCGCCAAGCAGCTGAATGCGCACTCGACTGCTGGCACCTTCCTCATTGCGATACCTGCGTGGGCATAACAAGAACGGCAGCGAAAGAGTGCATGTGAGAGAGTGTGTGAGGATGTGTGTGTGTGTGTGGGGGGGGGGGTGCGTGCATGCGTGTGTGTGTGTGTGTGTGTGTGACAGAGAGAGAGAGAGAGAGAGAGAGAGAGAGAGAGAGAGAGAGAGAGAGAGAGGGGGGGGGGTGGAGGTAGGGAGGTTGGGAGAGAGAGAGAGAGAGATACAGACAACACGTGCATGCCTCTCACCATTCGTAGCTGACTGCATTGGGCGAGGCTCTACAGCAAAGCTGCACAGGACTCAGCACTGTCATTGGCTGGACGGGTGCCATGGTGATACGAGGCCGTTCAGGGCAATTGAGCGTGTCGCACTTCCACTGTCCTTTCCCCTGGCACTCGCTAAGCATACACGGGAATGAACAAACACACAAAAACACCAAGCATGCCAATAAGCTCATTGTGCATTGCCAAATATGGATTTATGAGTAGTGCCTGTGGGTATGCTGGGATCCGGAATGTACTGTTCCACACCCCACCCAGACGACGACCATACCCAGGTGGCTGGGTGGGGGCGTTTATGGTGCAAATCGTCATTGCCTTGTACCATGTGCTCTTCTCGGGGATCAGACAGGCAAAGACGCTAACCCACGGTCATGCTCACTGGACACATGTCCAAACTCCCTGGCTATCGAAGCCAGTTCCAATCACGGACCACGACCGGCCACTCTTGGAAGTCGTTGCTGACACCAGATTTACCTTCACGCGTGAAGTATTGCCGAGGCATTGAAATCAGCATTTGAATTTTCATTTATGTACACAGAAGGTGGTTAAAAAGTGAGCAGTTCAGTTGCACACAACTCACCAGTTTCGGCAATCCAGAGAAACACTCTCGCCACGGTGATACGTGCTGTCACCATGGCGACACGGACAGTCGATGGTTGGTATGCACTGGCCCTGGTGGAAGCTCTCGTCATATTCACACTCACAGTTCTCGCCATCCGAACAACTGCAGTGAAAACACATGCATAGTGCACAAACATGTCAAATACCCTAGTGTATTGTGGCTCTTATATTAAAGCCTGTCTCATATAGAAGCCTGTTTTGAATTGCAGCCTGATTTTCAAGATACACTGTCGGCACACAAGCCTGGTTTTAGTGTTGACACACTTGGAAATACCTGTCTTGTACCGAAGCCTGTCTCATATAGAAGCCCGCAAAATTTCCTCCAAAAGTCTTATAAGCTGCGGCTTTTATACACGACTTTACGGTACACGTCCACATCGGAAGAAGGCATGGAGGCAAGCAAAGCTGCAATCGTTACTGCATTGTGTGTACAACGGGTTATCTGAGTGAGACATTATTTTGGTTTCCTGAAAGATACACCGTAGATGGCTTATCAAGGTGATGGTGAATGTAAGGAAATGCCTGATGAACGAGGGACACACGCGAACACACGGCATACTTACATGGCACGCTGCCTATCGCAGGTGTAAGTCTGTGAGCAGCAGGTGGGAACGCACTGGCTGACGTTGGCGTGGCTGAAACGATTAGAACACGACTGTGTAGCTGTTCAAACAAACACAACACAGCACAGATACAAACTATTCTTACTTAATCAACCCATGCTTCACTTCGAAGTCCTCTTGCATATCAACTAGTACCCGGGTTGCAACGAAGCACACTTTATAACCGTGCTGTTCAAATGTTTGGCGCAGGCCATCTGCAGAAAGGTCTCCACACACAAAAACACGTCCATCCACACAGACAGATCCAATGCATCTCGCAAGAACGGTTTCACACGAGATGCATATTCAACATGCTATAGAACAAAAATCTCGAAAAGTCTCTTACTACGACTATCGAAAAGTCACTACGACCACTTCATGAATATAGACAGACTGGATAACAGCCAACCACACAGGGGCCTGGCTCGCACATCTGTGGTATAGTGACTACTGTAGAACAGGTAATTTTAGCGACGTAAAAACCCCAGCGAATTTAGCGATCGACTCATTTTCGCTAAAGTTTCAAGTCGCTAATCCGTTGAGACATTAGTAGTGCACTGGTGATCCGTGAGTAAAATCGCTGCAAATCGCTAAAATAAAACGTCTCTAACCGGTTGACAATGGGAAAACGCTAAAATTAATAGTCGCTAAAATTACCTGTTCTACAGTATGTTCCAGACTGTACATCTGTGATGTGCAGTGGCTACGTACCAGACTGTACATCTGTGATGTGCAGTGACTATGTACCAGACTGTACATCTGTGATGTGGTGACTATGTACCAGACTGTACATCTGTGATGTGGTGACTATGTGAAATTAAATTCCAGACGAATATTTCTGCTTATACAGTATGTACCAGACTGTACATCTGTGATGTGGTGACCATGTATCAGACTGTACATCTGTGATGTGGTGACCATGTATCAGACTGTACATCTGTGGTGTGGTGACCATGTACCAGACTGTACATCTGTGGTGTGGTGACCATGTATCAGACTGTACATCTGTGGTGTGGTGAATATGTAGTACCACTGGCAATGTCATAGCTGCCATTTTCCCCATTTTGACTGCGTACTATTTATGACGGCCATTTGCTGGTGTGGTGACTGTACTACGCTGACTGTACACGAGCTACGCGCCTGCTCACATGCTAAATGGTACAGTACAAATACACATCCACTAGGGACCAGCGGATTCTGCTCGAAAAGGTGGCAGATTCTGCTCGAAAAGCAGTGAAATTGGAAGAACCATACACCCTCTTATGGCGGGCAATTCCTCGAATTCTGCTTCATTTCTTTATCCACATACCAAACATGCATGAACCTTACCAGAAAAATACCGAATTCTGCCAATTTTTCTGCCGGCAGAATCCGCCGGACCCTAACATCCACACATGGATTCCACTTACTGCAGTAGACGGGTGACTTGCCATGCTTCTCGCACTCACTGGCGGCCCGGCGCAGTGCCTTGCACTCGCACCACGCTCGCGAGCGACTCTCGTCCTCCAGGCACAGGCAGGCCTCCTTCAGACACATGGCCATCAGGCCCTTGAAGCTGGCCAGGGTGTCGTTGCACACGGCAAACGGGCCTGTCATCTCGCCACTCTCCGAGATGGAGGCGCACATGGCGCGCGCGTCCGCCATACGACTGGCGTTGTAGCCGCACGCGTCGCTGAACAGCTCACTGCGGCACTGGTCGCGCTCACGATACGCCCTCACGAACTGGTCGGTACGCAGACGACGCTGACTCCATGGCTGCGGGTGCGTGTCATCGTAGAAACGCTCGTTCCAGCTGCCGCACAGGCCGCAGGTCTGATTGAAGAACTCCGGTCCCACTTCGATGTCCACGTTCTGCAGGTACATATTGTAGATGACCTCCACGAAATGATCTGTGTGTGCATAGCCAGTGATGTTCACTGCACCTACTTCATCCATGGATAGCGTCAGTCGGCCGTGGTGTATCGGGACGTTGGGCTCGAACGTCGAAAGTAACGTCAGCACCGAGCTGTTGCCGAACTGCGCCGTCTCGTTCTTGCTGACCGTGATTGTGTCCCCGGTGGAGAGAATCACCTTGATGCCGACCGTGTGGTCGTAGGACAGCTTCTCCTCTGTCGCGCCGCCCGTGTACTGTACGATGGTGTACAGCGGTACGTGCCCCGGCACGTTTGAACAGTGCTGCGACAGCGTGTAGGCACACTTGCTCTGGAACGTGTACTCGAAGCCGTCGAACGAGCGATACCACAGGGAGCCGAGTGTGTTGCAGTTCCCTGCGCACGACACGATGTAGACATACGGATAGAGAGATGAATGGACAGACAGACAGGCAGGCAGATGGACAAACATACAGATGGACAGACAGACAGACAGACAAAGGAAGAGACAGACGGAGAGACAGATTGAGAGACAGATGGACAGGCATACAGAGGAACAGACAGATGAACAGACAGACGGACAGACCAACAGATGGACAGACATATGTATAAACAGACATACAACAGGAGGTATGTCATGGATTTTCTAGCGACTTGGATCCGACGGAGGGGATTGCAGATGAGTTTAACAAGACGATAGGGTTTGACTAGTTTTCCGGAGTCAGGCTCAAAGTGAAATATAACCGAACGATCAACGAACCAACACGATACACACTCCCTTTAAGAGTGCTTAAACCTCTTTATTGCCATTAGCACAGTAGAGTTAGTAGTGGTAGATTTTTCCTCATGACCAGACGAGACCACACGATACTTGTAGACACCAGCACGAACACTTCACCAGCAACACTCCACGACACACAGTACAGAGTTAGTTGGTCTTACCCCAGCAACACTCCACGACACACAGTACAGAGTTAGTGGGTCTTACCCCAGCAACACTCCACGACACACAGTACAGAGCTAGTTGGTCTTACCCCAGCAGGCTCGGTCACATGACTCCGTGTCCGTGTTGCTTCCGGGACAGTAGGTGCTGTCTGGCTCCGTCATGTTGCACGTGCGACGGCGTAACCTCACACCCGGTCCGCACGAGGTGCTGCATTCCGACCAGGTCGACCAATCGTTCCAGCGATCTGCGTACAGTAAAACAAAAACACACAAACAAACAAACAAACAAACAGGTCTCTGCTTGGATGACGGCAACACCATAGCTCAGTGGTTAGAGCATCGCTGGCTACAAGCGAGGGCCCCTGGTTCGAGTCCTGGTGGTGACAGTCAACTTTTTCTCCGGACTTTCCCCGTTTTCATCTTTCCCTCAGACAAATGACGTCCTGCCTCATTAGTAAACATTAACCCTTTGGGCCTCCCCTGAAATGACCACAACACGAAAATCCCTGCATGCGGATTGATTTTTTCTGTACACATTGTTCGATTTCAGTCCACCATACCATTGATTCTACTTGACCAATTTTGACAATCTTGGGCTCCTTGGAAAGCTCTCGGAGTGAGGATTATGTCTGGCCCAAAATTGTTGAGGAAATCCGTAGTTGTTAACCACTGTACACCAGGAATACCTCACACCGTTTATCAAGATGGATTCTATTTTATGGACTGCAAACAGCCAACTGGCTTTAAAAAAAAGGAGCAGTGACTATGTACCCAGCACCAATCAGCATAATTATCTATAGTTCCATTATGCCACATTTCTGCACTCCATTAACTCGGTGAGATACTAACTGGTTTGAGGGAAAGAGACAAACGGGAAAAGTCTGAAGAAAAAAATGACTGTCACCACCAGGACTCGAACCAGGGACCCTCGCTTGTAGCCAGCGATGCTCTAACCATTGAGCTATGGTGTAGTCGTCATCCCAGAAGAGACCTTTCAACATTTTCTTCAGACTTCGTAACTCACACTTCCTGTGAATCCACACAGGCGGGTGGGACGCAGCCCTCACTGTACCCACACACATGAGATACTATGAGATACCTTCTTCATTAGTACAGTTACTTTAACACTCAGCTAGATGTTGATACCTCTTTATCCAATCTCCTTATCTGTATAATCTTCTGTTCTCATTAGTCACAGCAAGAGTACATAACCAAGAGTGCGCAACTCCTATCTTGAGCTGCGGTGGGTTCACCCACGGCAAAATATTTTTATCGTGTCATTCTTTGGCAGAAGTATGATGAAGTGGGTATGCTTCCCCGCGCTTGTTTTGTAGATACGG